GTGTTGATTTTCATTTGTTTCCAGGTAATTTTTATATCTTCTCTGCATTATTAATGCATGTACTGTTTAATAACATGTTATTAGCTTCCATGTTGTGTTTGAATGTTTTTCAGGGGTTTTACTTTGCATTTGATTTCTAGTTTCGTACCATTGTGGTCAGAAAAGAATCCGAGTACGACTTCAATCTTCTTTAATCTGTTAAGGCTTATTTTGTGTCCTAAAATGCAGTCTATCTTTGAGACTATTCCATGTGCACTTGAAAAGAATGTAGACCCTGCTGCTTTGGAATAAAATGTTCTGTTCATATCAATTAAAGCCATCCAATGCAGTGTGTTGTTTAAGGTTGCTGTTGCCTTGTTGAATTTTTTTACTTGAAGTTCTATCCATTGATGACAGTGGGATGTTCAAATCCCCTACTGTGCCTGTATTGCTGTCAGTCTCTCCATTTTCATATTGAGATGCTCCTCTGTTGCGTGCATACATGTTTACAAAGGTGTGTTTGTTTTCTTGGTATTGAGTTGTATAAGTTCTTTATAAATTTTGGATATTAACCCCTTATCGGATGTATCACTGGCAAATATGTTATCTTATTCAGTGAGTTGTCCTGTCATTTTGTTGATGGTTTTCTTTGCAGTGCCAAAAAACTGTAGTTTGATGTAGTCCCATTTGTTTATTTATTCTTTCGTTTTCTCGTCTGAGGTGATATATCAGAAAAAATATTGCTATGAGAAATCTCAGAGATTTTACTGCCTATGTTTTTTTCTAGGACTTCACGGTTTTGAATCTAACATTTAAATCTCTAATTCATTTTTAATTTATTCTTGTGTATCATCTAAAAAATAAAATAAAAATTTTATTTTTTGCATGTATCTGTCTAATCTTCCCATCGCCATTTATCGAATAGGTTGTTTTTACCCCCATTGTATGTTCTTGCCTCCTTTGTCAAATATTAATTGACCATGAAGTCATGGGTTTATTTCTGGGCTCTCAATTCTGTTCCATTGATCTGTATATCAGTGTTTACGCCAGTAGCACGCTCTTTTCATTACTATGTCCTTGTAGTGTATTTTGATATTAGATAGCATGAATATAAATGCTAAATTCCCAACAACATATTAACACACTGGATCCAGCACTGAATTAAAAAAGTTAATACACCATGATCAAGGGGGATTTATTCCAGGGATGCATGGTCAGAACTCTATTCACAAATAAATAAATGTGATACACCACATAAACAAAATGAATAATAAAAATCATGTGATTGTATCCATAGATGCAAAAAAGCATTTGATAAAATTTGGCACTTATTTATGATAAAAACTTTTACTGAAGTGGGATTAGAGGGAATGAACATTTGTCAACATAATAAAGGCCACATATGACAAACTCACAGCCAACAACATTTCTATACATTAATAACAATCAGAAGAAATTAAGAAACAATCGCATTTAAAACCGCATCAAAAAGAATAAAATACCTAGACATAAATTTAATCAAAGATGTGAAAGACCTGTACTCTGAAGCTGAAACACATTTAAAAAAGAAATTGAAGCCCTGGTTGGTGTGTCTCAGTGGACCGAGTGCCGGCCTGTGAACCAAAGGTTCACCGGTTCAATTCGCAGTCAGGGCACATGCCTGGGTGACAGGCCGGGTCCCCAGCAGGGGACTTGTGAGAGGCAACCACACATTGATGTTTCTCTCCTTCTCTTTCTCCTTCCTTTCTTCTCAGAACTAGAATAAATAATCTTATTTTTTTCTAATTTTAAAAAAATATAGAACCACAAAAGACCCCCGATACCCCAAGCAAGCTTTATAAAGAAGAACAAAGTCAGAGGTATCACACTCTCATATTAAACTATACTGCAAAGCAATATTAATCTAAACAGTGTGATGCTGTCACAAAAACAGACACATAGATCATTGGAATAGAATAGAGAGCCCAGAAATAAACCCTTGTTTCTATGGTCAACAAAGCTATGACAAAGGAGGTAAACATACCCTACGGAGTAACAACAATCTCTTCAACAAGTAGTGTTGGGAAAACTGGACAGATGCATGCAAAAAATGAAATAAGACTACTGTCTTATACCACATACAAAAATAAGAACAAAATGGACTAAAGACTTAAATGTAAGGCCTGAAACTACAAAACTGCCAGAAGAAAGCATAGGTAGTAAACAAATTTACACCACTCTGAGTAATATCATTTAGAGGAAGGGAAACAAAAGCAAAAATAAAAAAATGGGACTTTATCAAACTACAAACCTTCTGCACAGTGAGGGAAACCTTCAGCAAAACAAGAGGACAGCCTAATGAATAGGAGAATATATTCATGAATGATATCTTCAATAAGGAGTTGATATAAAACATATGAGCAACTCACACAGCTCAGTTTAAAAAATGCAATTGAAAAATGAGCAAAGGACATGAAAAGACACTTCTCCAAAGAAGACATACAGATAGCTAATAGGCATATGAAAAGATACTCAACATCACTAATCATCAGGAAAATATAAATCAAAACCACAAGATACAACATCACAGCAGTCAGAATAGCTATTATCAAAAACTCAATAAATAACATGTTTCGGTGCAAATGGGGAGAAAACAAAACCCTTGTGCACTGCTAGTGGGACTTCAAACTGGTGCACCCACTATGGAAAACAGTACGGAGATCCCTGTAAAAACTAAAAATAGATATACCATACAATGCAGCAATTCTACTTTTCTTTGGATATACATCCAAAGAAAATGAGAACACTGATTTGAAAAGTTATGTGCACCCCTATGTTCACTGTGGCATTTTTTTATAATAACCAAGATATGGAAGCAAACTTGGTGTGCCCTGATAGATGAATGGATAAAGATGATGCCGTTTACAATGGGATATAATGCAGCAAGAAAAAAAGAATGAAATCTTGCCATTTGTAACAATATGGATGGACCAAGAAGGTATTATGTTCAATGAAGTCAGTCACGCAGAGAAAGACAAATACTGTGTGGTTTCCCTTATATGCCAAATCTAAAAACAAAACAGAAAAGGATTCACAGAATGGACAGAGGCTTGAGTTGGTGGGGGTGAACACACAATACCATGTGCAGATGAGATGTGGCAGAACTGTGCACCTGACACCTGTGTAATTTTGTGAACTAGTGTCGCTCCAATAAATTCGCTACAAAAGAAAAAAAAGGGACAAACCAAAGTGATGGGTAGCAGAAGGCAGGGAGTGAAGCGATGGAAGAAAAGAGAAAGGGGAATATAGTCAATAATACTGCGATAATTTTGCACAGTGGCAGATGATGACTAGAATTAATGGGGTGATCACAGTGTAAGGTATGAAAATGTCAAATCAGTATATGGTACATTTGAAACTAATATTACTCACATTATATTGTATACCAACTAGAACTAAATGTGAAACATATTTAAAAGTTCAGATCCCAAAGCCTCATTCCTAGCAATTCTTTATTTTAAGATGCTCAGAGTGCAAACCAGGCCTGTAAAGCTCTTGCATATACCGAGGTTTATTATTCTCACAGTGTCTCCTATTGGGTTAGCAGCATAATGTCTAGGGGGTAAGGGGTGGGAGAATGGGAACATAAACTCTTCTCTTGGAAGTCCCACCAAAGGGAAGTTTAGGGAGATCAATGTTTCTGAGAAGAACCTTCATCTTTACGATCTGAGTCAAATTTCAGGATCTTCATACTCTATACCAAACCTGAGTGAGGAGCTCGGGCTAACAACAAGACTTCAATCTTCATCCCAGCTTGAAGTGTGAATTAAGCATTGGCAAGCACAGAATGAGGCCCAAACTCCTTACCGTAGCATTCTAGAGACTCCTGGATTTTATCCCATCATTTCTGTCCCAGCCTATCTCCTTGTCAACATCCGGGTCTCCTGGCAGTCTGGTGTACACCCTGAGCCATAAACTTCCCCAGATGATAATGTGTACTTAACGTACCATTGCCTTTTCATGACTTTTATCCTCCCCTCCCCTGGGATTCATCATAGAGTAGTGGAGGTGGTTCCATCAGGGATAACACATTGACAATAATCCATGGTTTCTTTTGCATGACACCGTACAATTTACAAAATGTTTTCATAGATTTTACACAATGCCTACTAACTATAAGGCATGGCATGAAAAGATTTCACACACATCATCTCTAAATCCTTATGAAAAGCCTTCATTTTATAGACAAGGAGACTGAGAGTCAGAGAGATGAGTGACTTGTACTAAAAAGCAATGGACTCAAGACTAGAATCCATGTCACCTAGCACCGAGCTGTTTCCAACTTATCCTAATCCTTACTATGGTCCCTTAAGACTTGTTTAACCTGTATCTTTGGAAGCCCAGGAGGACTGTGGGTTGAGATTTAAGTCTTCTTCAGGGCCAAGTTTGCTGCTTTACAGAGATTTTGCTTACCAGTTAATGTATAAGGAAGTAAAGACATGGCTCATAGAGAGAATGGGTATGTAAGAGGAGCAAAGAAAATAGGCTTCTGAAAGGTACCCTCTGTGCTCTTAAAGAAGAAATTATACTCCAAAAGGAGCAATCATCCAGGCCCCAGTACCATAGCCCAAAGCCACAAAAGTTCTGAAAAGGAGAGTCAAATGGTAAGAGCCTTCCTGGTCATCTGGAAGTAGAGGAAGATCAAGCCAAGCTTGCCTGTCGCTTGTCAGGGGAATCTGCCTCTCCACAGCCCCTTCCTTTCACATATCACTGGTTAACTACTCAAGTTGGGAACTAATCATATTATTTTTCTTATCTCACGGGGTCAGAGATCAACAACTTCACCTTTGTAACGCATGGGGGTATGAAGGTTCAGATGGATGTCACTCGCAAAATTTAAAAGCACAAGATGTGTTCTTGCTCTACTGTCCTCAAAAAGCCCTCCAACATATTCCGAACTGATCTAGGGATTTCTGTACCTACACATCCAGAACAAATGCAAGATCCTTCATTCTCAAAGCCAGAGACACTCACTCACTCACCTTTGACATACACGTACACACTGGCCTTGTCATTTGGATCCTTGATGTCAGCAACATCCTTGTAGCTACATGTAAAGTAGCCCGTGTCGCCAGCTTCTGTGGGGAAGATGGTGAGCCGGTTGCAAGTAACAAGGGGGTTATCAGGGCAGGGGCGCTCTAAGATGCGGGCCCGGCTTCCTGGAGACCCAGTGCCCCAGGTCCAGGTAATGGCAGCCATTCCCCTGAAAATACAACACAAAAAATAGGCTGAGTCAGGCGTGGAAAGGACAGTGAAGAAGCAATGTTGCTCTAGCTCCCAACGTGGATCCTGAAGGAAGAGTTATAACAGGTAGCTTAGTTTCCATGAAAAAAATTGGCCCCAAGATTGGAACACCTAACTATGGGTATGAGGAGCATCTGAAACCATGTTATGTTTTTGTCCTTCTTCCTGCCTACCTCTACACTTCCTCCTCTACCCAATCTATACCCTCAGCCCAGATCTCTCAATCAACACATGGGCTTTGGAGTGTTTGACATTAAACATCCAAAGGCAGAAGGAAATACTGAGGTAAGTGATTTCTGAGATCCTTTCTGGATCTATGATTTGGACTTGGAGAATGAGAACTACAAGACTTGGGGAGAAAAAGGGCCTTGCCCAGAATGTTGCTGGCAGGACCCAAACTCAAAATCCTATGTAGTAGGTCCAAGTCTAGGTTTTTATTTCTATTTTTGAGTTATACCTTGTTGCTTCGCTTCATTTAAAAGGCTTTTTTGGCAAGTGAGTTCTGAAAGGACATGTGGCTGGGTTACCTCTCCCTGCATTTTGTAGGAGAGAACCAGGGACAAAGTTAACTTTAAATTCGTTGTATTTCTTTCACGTGCAGACAAAATGACAGGACTCTATATCTGCATCTCACCGATAATTTTCTTCTCCTCCCATTCCCTTATAACAAAATGAATCTGTGGCACAATAATTGAAAAAAAAATGCAGGGATGACAAAGGAAACTGTATATCAAGTCTCAGTACCATTGTTCAGTTATGTGACCTTGGACAGTTAATTAAGCTTTTTAGGTCTCAGGGTTCTCATTTGCAAAATAGGGACTGTGATCCTCCTCTTACAGGATGCTGTGAAGTCTCATTTAGAGACCTTACTTGGAATCGTTTTGCAAATGCATGCCCTCAGCATATGTGAAAGAGAGTGGAAATTGGGGTTGGGATGGAGCCAGATTTGACTCCTGTTCCTCTGTCAAAGGCAGATACCCTTCCCCATGTCATATATCATCTCCAGCATTCACACATGTATTAGATGACTATTTATCATGACCCATAAATTCACTGATGTGAACAGAAGGTAAACCATGAAGTGGTGTGGGGAGCCATTGCCCACCTTGAGGACATTCTTCAAGAGCAATGTACTTCTAACCATTTTGAAAACATCATGTTGCCATGATTGTGGTTAAAAGACTTAAAAAAAAAATAAAAGGAGGAGTTGTAGACAGCATGACCAGGAGTCAGGTAGAAGACAATGGTGCAAGGTCTGCCCCGTCCCAACCCCTCACTCTCTGGCTCTTGCACCCTGAGATTAGAACGAGGTTTTGTCTCTGTACGTGGGAAGAAAATGAATCCAAGTCACAGTTCCTCAGCATGACTCCAGGGTCCTCCATTGGCTGTCTACTACCAACCACTGGAGCCTCTGTTTCTATTGGAACTCTGATCTCCTTAGAGTACGCCCTGCCTCATTCTGGGGTCTTCAAATAAACTGTGTGGCCTCAAAACCAGACCCCTTAAGAGAAGGTGTGTCATGTTATAGACTGAATTGTGTCCCCCACAAATTCATATGTTAAAGCACTAACTCCCAGTACATCCGAATAAGACTATATTCAGATATAGAAATAGGTGATTAAGTTAATGAGGCCATTAGAGTGGGCCCTAATCCAGTCTGACTGGTGTCCTTATAAGAGGAGATTAGTACACACAGACACCAGAGCCAGGGCTGTGCACACACAGAGAAAAGACCATGAGAACATGCCGTGAGAAGGCAGCCATCTGTAAGCTCAAGAGACAAGTCTCATGAGAAACAAACCATGTTGATAGCTTTATCTTGAAATTCTAGGACTATGAAAGAATGAATTTTTGACGTTCAACCTGCCCAGTATTGAGTATTTTATTGTGGCAGCCCTAGGAAGCTAACTTTCTGCACTGTTATCAGCTGCCATCTGAAATTCTACTGTTTTTGTTGGGCTTTGTATGCCATGAGAAGTAGACCTTAGAGTTTTCATTTTTTAACCCTTGCCTGCCTCACCCGACTAGAGTCTCAGAACTGCTCCTCAGAGCCAACAAATGATACTGCTCTCCTGACTTTCACCCCTCTGTATGTAGTGCCTCTAATGGCTCTGGGCAATGTCCCGGTCCATGCTAACCTGGCCTGTGAAGTCTTCGGGATTATTCCACATTGTTTGCTCTGATACCAGAGAAAAGCAAGTAGACAAGCAGATAGTATCTGGGGTTCAGGGGTAGCCAAAGTGGTTTCTTTTTTAATTGAAGCATAGTTGACATACAACATTATATTAGTTTCAGGTGTATGACATAGTGATTTAACATTTTTTCCCTTGTGATGTCATCACCACAAAAGTCTAGTAACCATCTGTCACCATCCAAGTTATTACAAGAATATTGACTATTTTCCTTATGTCGTACGTTACATTCCATTAATTGGTTTTTTTTATAGATTTTAAAAATTTATTTATTTTTAGAGAGAAGGGAAGGGAGGGGATAAAGAGAGGGAGAGAAACATCCATGTGTGGTTGCCTCTTGCACGCCCCCCTACTGGGGACCTGGCCCACAACCCAGGCATGTGCTCTGACTGCGAATTGAACTGGCGACCCTTTGGTTCACAGGCCAGCCCTCAATCCACTGAGCCACACCAGCCAGGGCACATTCCATTAATTATTTTCATAACTGGAGGTTTGTACCTATTATTCTACTTCCCTTTTTTACCCATCCCCCCAAACCCTCTGACAACTGTCAGTTTTTTGTTTCTATGCGTCTGTTTCTGTTTTGTTTTCTTTTGTTTGTTCTGCCTTCTTAGATTCCACAAATAAGTGAAACAATACAAAACTTTTTTTTACCTCTGTCCAATTTATTTCACTTAGCATAATGCCCTCTAGGATGGTGGGTAGGGGGTGGCTAGGGTATGGGGATCTTTAGAGACAGAAGACCTGGGCACAAGAGCAAAGGTGATGGCCTGGGATAAATGGGAAGCAGTGGAGGTCAAGGAGGAGGAGCTGTTTATGTTTGCTCACACAGCATACTCCTGACTTAGACCCATTTTTAGTTCCCATATCTGGATATTTGGTTGAGCTTGAGAGGACACTTTTGAAAATATTCCAGGAATAGAAACTGAGTTCCAGAGATTCCAACAGCAGATTCTCATGCCTGGGCCTGAGCAGCTGGATACTTGGAATGACTAGGCCTCCTATTCTTGATAACATCCTGGGGGAGAATCACATGCCAGAGTCTTGAGCTTCCTTACAAGATGATTTATTTCCCCCACCCACCTTCCATAAGATGCTGGATTTGCCTGCCAGAGCACCAAAGGCCTACAGCTTAAGGCTTGGGAACTAAGGTAACTTGCTTCAGGAAGCGTTACAAAGGGCCAGCTGAACACAGAAGTATGGTCAGTCCCTGTTGGAGCTAGGCAAAGAAATATGAGCTTAGCCTGCTCCACAGACTTGTCAAGACTTAGAAAGTATAGAGAGCTGCATGCGCATTTATACAATGAAAAATCCACTGGTTTGGGCATCAGGAGGGCTTGGCTCTAGCATTGGACACTTAACAGGTTCTTTCTCCTCTTCAGGCCTTGGTATCCTCATCTGTAAAGAGGGGCCGATCGAACCTACCTCACAGATGTATTGAGAAGGTTTACTGAGTCAATCTATATAAAGTGCTTAGAGCGAAGCCTGCCACAGAGCAAGGACCCAACAAACTGCAGTTACTGTGGTTATCAACTTTATCTGGGATAGAAATCATTTTTGAACCATGTCCCTTTTGCACATTCCACTTCCAGTCCGTTAGAATATCCTGTGTGCTCTGCCTTCGCAATGTTTTCACAACCTGCCCACTTCGCATTCCCTCCACTGCCGGCACCCTGGTTAGTCCCCATCAGCTCTCACCCGGAAGGCTCCGCTAGCCGCTGACTCCTGTCCCCTTTAATCCATATCCCTCACAGCATCCAGGGGGAGACTTTGAAAACATACATAAGGCCACATCATTCCCCTGCTTAAATTCTTCCAGTGGCTTCCCATGACTTCCAGAATAAATTCAAAATCCTCACTGAGGTGTATAAAATTCTGCTGCCTCTGCATCTTAATTTCTTATCTTCCTCTCCACTGCTTATTTTTTTTCTGGCCACACAAACTTCGTGCTGTTTACCGACCATATGAAATTTACCCTTACCTCAAGGGTTTTCCATTTTTTATTCCCCTTGTCTGGAATATTCTTTCTCCATATATCTGAATGGCTCCTTCCTTTATGTCTCTGTTCAAATGATACTTCTCTCCTGACCAACCTTTTAGAAGAAACACTTCTCATTTACCCTGATACTTTCTTCACAGAGCTTATCATCTTCTAACACATTTTACAATTTTCTTATTCATCTTATTATCTTTCTCACCCACTAGAGTGTTATCTCCAAAAGGGCAAGGAACTTTGACCATTTTGTTTACTATCATATATCTTCTGCACCTAGTTCAGTGCTTCGTACACAGTAGGTGCTAAATAAGTATTTGTTGAATATATAAGGGAAACAATCCCTTTTTCTACCTATTCTGAGGGGTTGATATGGGGCTAAAATATACTAGTTTCTTGAAACTGCTTTGAAAAGTATAAAGTCCAAATTTTAACTCTTTGTTGATGCTATCTTCTTTTCCAAAATATCCTTCATTCCAAATCTGTCCTGAAATGTCCAATCAAGAGTTCTGGGTACGTATTTCTTTTTTTAAAAGGTTTTTTTGGTTTTGTTTTGCTTTTAATATTTTATTTATTTATTTATTTATTTTTAGAGAGAGGGGAAAAGAGGGAGAAAGAGACAAACATCAATGTGTGGTTGCCTCTCACATGCCCCCCACCGGGGACCTGGCCCACAACCCAGGCATGTGCCCCGACCAGGAACCAAACCCGCAGCCCCTTGGTTTCCTTGGTTTGCAGCCCAGTGCTCAATCCACTGAGCCACGCCAGCCAGGGCAAGTTCTGGGTACTTTTAATATCCCTTTTGAGGATGCCTGTATTTCTCATTCAACTGTGAGGTGAGCCCCTAGAAAGCAGAGTATAATTTACCCGGTTGTGCATATACGGCCATTTCCACCTCCAGCCAGAGAATTGTGCCTAGTACAGCACACAAACAATGAATTACTTGTTTTTTATTATAAATTTATTTGTATTTGATATGCAGGGTAGTAATTATAATTTGTCTGCCTCAACAAAATGCTTTCTATACAGTGAATAAATGAGGGTGTTTATATATAAACAAGTAGGGGGAAAAGACATCTATAATAATTTGAGTATAAAAGCCCTGGCTGGTGTGGCTCAGTGGATTGAGTGCTGGCCTGCAAACTGAAGGGTCGCTGGTTCGATTCCCAGTCAGGGCACATGCCTGGGTTGCAGGCCAGGTCCCCGGTGGGGGGCATGTGAGAGGCAACCACGCATTGCTATTTCTCTCCCTCTCTTTTTGTCTCCCTTCCCTCTCTTTAAAAATAAATCAATAAAATCTTTAAAAAGTAATTTGAGTATAAGAGAATAAATATTCAAAATTTTATTTCATCATAGAGGAAATGAGAAGGTAGCAGCACTGCCATTGCCCAATTGTATATCCTTTGTCCGATATTGTCATCGTTTCAGGCTTCAACTTATCCATTTTTTTAAAGGGATTTAGAGGAGCTCCTCATGTTTCTGAAACTTTCTGAGGAGGAGTTATTTGTGATTTCACAAGCCATAACACCTTCTTTCATTCCTCCATTTCTACCTGAGGCACTATTAGCCTGTCTTCCAGATGAACTTTCTCTGGGATCCTCTTAGCACTGAAGCAAAATTCCCCCCAAATACCGACCAGCCTATCCACCAGAGCCAAGCCTGTCTCAAATGCATCACCTGGAGTTAAGTGTCTACAACTCATGGTAAATTAGAGCTGGGTTTTATGACATTAAAAGTCCTGGAAAGAAGCCCTGGGAATAAATATGATCTATTGGAACATGACAAACCAGGACACATGCAGGCAATTGGTGGCAGGTTTTATGCAATGGCTAATAGGTCAGATGTCATTCAGGGTCACTGGGGTAAAGCAATCTTGAGTGAGCGGGGACTGATAATGCACTTGAGGCTGACTTCAATCATATGCTTTATACCCAGAGAAGATGCTAAGCAGGCATACAGGTGAGGAAAAGACAGCCTCCAAAAACCAAATGTCTGGCTCAGATCCCCTGATCAAACCTCATCTGTATTGTTAGAAACCCAGACAGCTAGGAGAAAAGGGCACCTCCTGCAGGGGGAGTTCAGGAATCTACAAACCTAGAATAGGATTCCCACCTCCAGGTACGCTATCACTGTACTCTACCTAGTATAATTCACTAGGCATGATAATATTTGTTCTCCCCTTCTTTCATAGTAATGAAATATTAACTTTTTTAGTTGGACATATGACCTCCTGTAGAAAATTTTCCAGCCTCTCTTGCAGCTAAGTTTGGCCATGTGATTAAGTTTTGGTTGAAACAATATAAGCGCAAGTGGTGTATAGAGCTTTTGGGAAAATGGTGTTAGAATAGAAGGCATGCCTGCCTTTCTTTACCTTTCTTTCTTTTTTTTCCTAACTAGCTGGAATGCAGACATGATGAATAGAGTCTGAGTAACCATTCTGGACCACATGGTGAAAGCCATTAGTTAATGAAGGTGGATCTATACAATACAGAAGAAATATGATTTTCTAATGATTTCATGGGACTGGCATGCCATCTCCAGATATCCACCATTTGGACTTTTTTTCCATAAAATAATTAAACTTTGTTTCCAAATGCCACTGTTAACTTGGGTTTCCTACTACATATATTACAACATAACCTTTACCAACATACTGGTGCATTGGCTATCTTAAAAAAAAGGAGGGTGCACTGTACTAGACTTTCAGTTCAATTAAATTCAGTCCACATTTATTGAGCACCTACACCGCTGAATGTGACCATTCTTTCTTTCTTGAAACCTTACTCTCCCTTATTATAGTTCTCCTGTGTTTCTCCCTTTTACTCATTCTCCATGCACTTTCCCAAGTCCCCTTCCTGCCCAGGCAATCTTGAAGCACAGGGACCCCTGAAGATTATGACCTATACTTTTTCATCTTCTCACTCAACATCTTCTCCCCTATTATCCTTATCTATTTATATAGTTTCAACTCTCATTCAGTTTCTGTGAATAACTCTCACATCATCTTTAATTGGGTTTCTTTCCCACACCCTCATTCTTTGTATGTCATGGCTGGTGTGGCATAGTGGATTGAGTGCCAGCCTGTGAACCAAAAGGTCACTGGTTCGATTCCCAGTCAGGGCACATGCTTGCGTTGTGGGCCAGGTCCTTAGTGGGGGGTGTGTAAGAAGCAACCACACATGGATGTTTCTCTCCCTCTCTTTCTCACTCCCTTCCCCTTTCTCTAAATAAGTAAATAAATAAAATCTTCAAATCTAAAGAAAAAGTTTTTGGTTAAAAAAAGCACACCCAATATTTCTGAGCTCCCTACCATGGACCTTTTAATCAGGAAGTTTAAGGGCCTTGATTTGTTACCTGCAGGTGATGTCAAATGTTCCACCAGCCTGGATCACCACTTGATCTCCACGAATGCTCAGTTCTGGTTTCATCATGCTCTCTTTATTGGCAAGACCTGAAACAAGATAAAATTTATTGCTACTGGAATTTTTCAATTAGTCAAACGATGTATCCAAATATCATTCCGCATGAATAAAATAATACGTATGTGAGGCCAACTGCTGTGTTTTCTGTAAGCAAACTATTAGAAACATCCAGATATCTATAGATAAAGAGACTGATCAAATTATGGTACATACATATGATGGAATACACAGCAATAAAACAGGAAAAAAGGAAACACTTTGTATCATAACATAGAGAAGTCTGCAAAATAAATAAAATAAAAAGCAAATTACAAAGTAGTATGCGCAGTATATAAGCATTGAAGTAAAAGAAGAAAATGTAGGTATTTACTTATGTATGCATAGAACTGGAAGACACATACAAAAAATAGGTGTAGTTCATTGACTCTGGGGAGGGAAAATGGAGGACAGAGAATAGTGGATGTAATGGAGCTTTCCTCTGTACACACCTATGAAAATATTGAATCATTGTGCACAGCTACTTTCCAGTACTACCTAATAGAGCTCAAAAGGTCTGTTGCTAATGCCATTGATTTTGGACTTGTTCATATAACTTGGTTTTAGCAAATTGAATTTGGGTTGAAATTAGAGTGCATCAGTTTCAGTCTGAAGTTTTAATAAATATTGCATGTTCTTGTTCAATCTTTCTTTTCCACCATCACTGTAAACAAAACTGGACCTAGAAGGGCTGCTGGTCCAAGGGGAATGAGAGACAACTGGATCGGACACAGGCCCCACAGGTTCAAGCCAAACCCAGTAGAACTGGCCTAGATCAGCGTAACACCAAACAATGCACAGTTGCATGAGCAAAAAATAAATATTAACATGATGTGGTAATGAAACAAAATTTAATTAAGTATAATTGCAATAAAAGACAGCACAAATCTGAATTTTACAATTTTATCAGTTTTAACATATGTATACACACATGCAACTATTACTTCAATCAAAATAATTAATATATCCATCATTTCTAACACTTTCTTAATGACCCTTTGTAAACCATCTGTCTTTCTACCCTTGCCTCCAGGCAACCAATGATCTGCTTTCTTTCACTATAGATCATTTTAAATTTTCTACAATATTAAAATAAATTGAAGTATACAGTATTTACTCTTTCATGCCTGGTTTTGTTCACTCGGAGTAATGATTAGGAGACACATCTCTGTCATAGCATATATCGGTAGTTCATTCCTTTATATTTCTAAGCGATATTCCATTGTTTGGATAGAATCTCATTTCGTTTAGCTCTTCATCTATTCATGGACATTCAGGTTGTTTCCACTTTTTGGCTGTTGTGAACAAGACCTGCTATAATATTTACACAAGTTCTTGCGTGGACATATATTGCGACTTGTCTAAAATAAATACTTAGATGTGGAATGACTGAGCCATGCAATAGGCATATGTTCAGCTTTTTAACAATCTGATACATTGTTTTGCAAAGTGTTTGGACCATTTTGCAACCTCACTAGCAATGACTCGGAGGTCCAGTTGCACCGCATTTTTGCAAACATTTGATATGGTCCGTCTTTTTAAAGTATAATAAATCTAATGGGTATGTAGAAATATCTTATTGTGGTTTTAATTTATGTTTCCCCGATGATTACTAATATAGTGCCTACTCATATACTTACTGGCCATCTATAAAACATTTTTAAAGAAGTGTCTATTCAAATCTTTGTAAATTTTGGGGGGTATCTGTCTTCTTTTTGAGTTGTAAATGCTATTTGCATGTTCTGTTTTGATGTATGTGATACTGCTGCTGGGTTTAGAGCTAATCTTTTAGGCAGCATTTTTGAGGCTGCATCTGACCTCTACAATACCCTATCTGTATTTTCAATTATATACCATAATAAATTGCCTATTCAAAATAAGTAAATACAACTAAGTAAATAAGCCAGCAAACAAAAATATTTATTGTTAATTATTTAAAGTGAAAGGAAACTACTATTTATTGAGCATTTACTAAATATGTTAACACTTTTACTTGTTTTAACTCAATGGATCATCAAAACTCTGTCAGGTAGGTACTATTAGTATACCTTTTACAGCAACTCAGAAAACTGAGGCTACAGAAAAGAAGACTGAGAATCATAGTCAGATAACTTATAAGCGATAGTGCTGGGATTCAATCTTGGGTCTGCCTGACTCCAAAGTGTGTGCTCTTTCTATTAAACCGTGCTGTTTTCATCTATGAAACATAACTTATCTTCTTCCCAAGTCTAGGGCTAATGCTCAAGCGCCAAAATGTCCAAGCAAGGGGCTAAAGTAGAACTAAAGCTAAATTATATCCAGTGATTGTGTTATATTACATTACATTTCATAGCAGTATTACCCAAAACATTTTATTCTAGTTTCATTGACAATTAATTGATCTTTTTCTGAGTTCCAGGAACATACTGTGAGACCATAATTACAGGTCTCATTTCACTCTGCCCTGCGGTGAATGACAATTTTCTTATGTCTGGCCATCGCATAGATTGGGAGCTCCCTGATGTCGGCAACAGTGTTTATTCATCTGTGCACCACCACTCCAGAGCACATAGCAGAGGGTTGCCCCCATGGCCAACTCAAGGAACATGCCATTGCCTAGGTTTAGTGATGCCATGAGTGAAACAGAGGTTTCAGAGGTGGTCTTTGCTTTCAAATATCTCACAGTCTAGTAGGAAAAACAGACATCAATGCACCCCAATGTTCGTAGCTGCACAATGTACAATAGCAGAGATCAGGAAGCAACCTAAGTGCCCATCAGTAAATGAGTGGATCAAAAAACTGTGGTACATCTACACAATGGAATACTATGTAGCAGAAACAAAGAAAGAGCTACTGCCCTTCGCCACAGCATGGATGGAACTGGGAGCATTATGCTAAGTGAGATAAGCGAGGGAGTAAAAGACAAATACCTTATGATCTCACCTATAAGTGGAACCTACGCAACAAAACAACAAGCAAGAAAAATATAACCAGCAACACTGAAAGAAAAAGCAAACCGACAGTAACGAGAGGGAAGGAGGGAGGCGGGTAATGGGGAAAAGAAGGGGAGGGGTCAAATCAAGGAACATGTTTGACGGACCCATGGCAAAGCCAAAGGGGGGAAGGATGGAGGATGGGGGTCGGTGGGGCGGGGGAAAGTGGTGGCAGGAAAATGGAGACAAATGTATTCGAACAATAAAAAACAAAATTTAAATAAATAAAAATCAGAAAAGTAAAACAGACATCAACAAAGGATTGGATTGAACATGTTAAGTGCTACAAAAGACATGAAAAGAAGAGCTGTGGGAGCCTCGGCAAGCCAGTAATCAATTCCATAAATGTTTACTGAAAGAATAAGTTATGTGATTTGAAAGATTTCAATTCATCATATGTAGTGCAGAGGTTAAAAACACAGAATGTAGAGGCAGGCAACCTGAATTTGTGACCGAGTTCTACCATTTGTGCCCTATATAACCACAGGGAACTTACTTAACTCAGCCACAGTTATCTCATATGTATAATGAGACTAATTACAGAGGTTTGAGCTGAGGATTAAATAAGTTACTACACTGAAAACTATCACTTACGCATTGTTTATTGTTATTATTACAAAGCAGCATTTCCCTTAATTTTCTGCCTCAGTGCTTATAACTTCCACAGTTAGTATCACTACTGAAGGCTAATAAACTGTTTTCTGAACCCGGGTTTGACCTGGGAATAGAAAATTATGTGTGTGGAGACAAAGAGGAGTATCCATGAGCTCCCCAGACACTTGTGTTCATTATAGATTGGTAGCCCGGTACAACAACCAGCTATAAAAATGCTTTTTTAGAAACTGGGATTCTTCATTAAAAATCTTTATATTCCCCAACACCCTTTTTCTGGGGGAAATTTGCCTATTCTGGTGGAAGACGTTAAGTCAAACAAGTCAGGTATACCTGGAACACAGTCGTTTATATGCAGGAAGGACTTTATCACACAAGTGCGTGTGAACATACCCATATGTACATGCAGAACATTCTCACGACTGTTGTCTCTGGGCTCCAAGGAATGGGTTAAAGAGTCTTACATTAGATGTAGTGCTTTCCATTCTGCCAAGCATACTCATAAATTCCTTTTAGCATCTCCAGAAAGGATATGCTATTAGGTCCATTTTGCTTATGAGAAAGACCAGCACCAAGAAGTTGCCTTGCCTAAAAGCCACACAAGTTACAGAAACCACATGGGGCAAACTGGATTCGAAAAGTAAAATACCTGGCTCTGGTCAGGTTCACTTTCCACTAGATCATAATCACACTCTTGGGCTACTCCATGTACCCACTTCAGACAGAAGGGAAGAAAAGTGTGAAGAAGTGTATGTGTTTCTCTAATATTAGGGATGATGATTCCCAAACCCCATTCACTTTGCACATCCCCTTCTGCTGGTCTTACTGCTTCTCCATTCATCTTGAGCTTGCTCAGATTTTCTGGACTGTTGCCCTTTTGGTTAAGAGTTTGTTTTCTTTGGAAGTGACGGAGAGGCATTCCTCAGGAAGCAGAGAGAAAAGGGGCTTGGAGTTGTCTTGTCTAACAAAATATTTCCAAAGTCAATGTGAATGCCAAGTGGAGAGACTTTGGGATACACACAAAAATTACAAAAGAAAGACAGGGAGAACACGGGTGCATTTGAGGACTATGTGATCCTTCTCCCTCCAAATTCTGGTGGTTGTTAACAAAAGCAACAGTTTAGTTTGGATGGTAACAGAATAACCAAAATATACCTGAGGTTTAGATGTACTGATGGCTGAACTGAGAAGACCTCAAACTGGGAACATGTACACCTTGTGACTCCTTTAGAGCAAGAGGTGAGGGGACTTGGGTTTGTAGAAAAACTACCCTTCAGAAGGAAAACAAACCTTTATAATGCGGAAAAAGGGATTAAATAAGGGAAAACCAAAGAAGTCCTTTTGTATATCTTTTCTGGATTAAAAAGAAGAAACAGCTTTAGAAAAAGTCAGTAGCAAGAATCATTTAG